GAAAATCTCAAGAAGAAAGGAGAATCAACTGTCAAACGCAAAGGAAATGTATTTCTTGACCAGTTAAGCATTTGTGAGCTGTAAGAGTGCAATTTCAGCAAAAAATTATAATAAAAAAATTGCAAGATAGAAACTGTGAATGTGATTTCTTTGGAACTTGTACATGAGAAAAGAAATAATATAAGACAGTAGGCTGAACTGATAACAAGATGGAAGGAAGATTTTTATTTGTGGTTTTGAAAAGGGAGAAACAAAAGTGCTAAACATATGAGAGAGGTAATACCAGGTTCCGAAGTGGAGAAAGATTTTAAGAAGGGCTGAATTCAGGGGCCCTGGTCGCTCAGTTAATCTGAAGGTGAGAAGGACATTTTTCCTTCTGGGTTACAAAACAGAAAATATATGAACACATGCAGAGTGGACACAGGGAGATTTGAATGTTAAAGATTAATTACATGATTCAACCTACCATAGTGAACATTATTGTCACTTAATCTATTCACATTTATTTGCCCAAAATTGTTTTAAGAATTAATCATATATAACATGTTACATATTGCCAGTTTTTTGTCTTAGTAGACTGTACTTGAAAGAACTATAGAGGTTGTTTTGAGATTCTTAGAGCTATGTAAAAACCAGATTTTGAGGTTCTACGTTTTGATTGTTTCAAACCATATTATACAATGAAAAAATATAAGCAGGTTATGATAACTAAGTAAATGTTATTAAATGTTGTATGTTATAGCAAGTAGATTTCTTATTAATTTTACTTAATTTGCTCAGAAATAGAACTTTGTAGATCTCACCAATTCTCAACTCTTGACCTCCACAAAACCCTAACAAGGTAAGTAATTATCTTTCCCACTTATAGAAAGTGGTGGTTTATGTAAGCACAAAATTCAAAGCAAATAAACTGTGTATTTTGTTGTCCTAACGGTGGGTCTAAGTTAAGTAATGCCTTATATTTTAGCATGTTTATAAGAAGTATTAAACTTGACTCTCTGAGACAATTATATTGTTAGAGTTTATTGATAACTTGGCCTAAAACCAAAAGGTTAAAGAATTAATCAATTTTGACCTTTTTTTTCTTTTTTTTTTTTTTTTTTTTTTTTTTTTTTTTTTTGATATAGGCAGTTACCAACATTTTTTGTGTGATCTTTTGTAATAAGATATTTAAATAGCAAATTCTTACAGTATGCCAGGCTCCATGGCCGGCACTGAGAATATAATGATGAATGCACCAAAGTTTCTGATATCCAAGTAGAGGAAATAAACTATGAGAAACAAAAAATACAGGTATTTTAAGTACAGACTAGGAAAAGTCTATGAAAAGCCAGTGATATGTTAGACGGAGTGAAAAATCTAAGTCAGAGTCAGTTGTGGAAGGGTCTAGACCTTTTCTTAAAGACAAAAAATCATGTTAACGGTTTCAAAAGAGAGATTTTTTTTTTTTCCGGTACCGGGAATCGAACTCACGACCTTGCACTTGCCAGGCAGGCGCTGTGCCGCTGAGCTATATCCCAGGCCCAAAAGAGAGATTTTAATATAGGAGTAAGTTAAACAGATGCTGGAGGCCTGGAAAAGCTCAACGGGAAGCAGGTATTAGGGATAATAACTAGAGGAGGCAACTGCCACAGCTAGGCGGAGGGCTGGGAGGGAAGGGTTAAGGTGGTTGGATCTAGAACCTCAGATCGGACAGTTCGGAGATAGGGCTCAGGATAGCTGCTCAGCTGCTGATTCTGAGTTCAATAAATTTTTTTCAGGCTTCTACCATTTGCTGTTGCCAGGCGACACTGACAGAAACAACCAGGCAACAGGAAGGCGCGGGACTCCCTTCTCCCCTCCTACCGCTTTCCAAGCTCCAGCGAGCCTAATACAACCTATTGTGGAAGCAACGGAAAGCCAGGTGGAGAGAGAAGCGCCGCGCTGCGGTGGGGGTTGGGAGCGGAGAGATCATCGTTCATCAAGTGACTGAGAAACCGCTCTCCAAACAGGTGACACGTGAGCTAGGTCTGAAGAATAACAATAAGCCCCATGTGTGAGGAGCTGGGCAATGATTTCAGACGGAGCAAAGGGCTTGAAGAGGGCTATGTCAGCAAGGAGACAGGCATCATGAGAGAGGTGGGGAGGGGGCCGGAAGGCGGGGGAGATGGAATGGAGTCACGCTGTTCACCAGACGATGGGCTGACACCTCGTGACATGCCGCCCTCGGAGGGCCCGTCAGTCATTCACGAAACACCGCACGGAAGGCGCCATGCTAAACAAGGGCTCCTGCAGCTAAACAAGCGGCGTGTTCTCTGCCTCCTACACCTGTTCCTCTGTCTCTCTATTGTTTCCTGCTTAATGGCATCATCCCTTATCCAGTGTCCCAGACCAGGAATTTCTGAGTCATCTCTCTGACTCTCCACACGCAGTGAGTCACTCACCGTTCTAAATCAATCCCCTGCCTCCCAGTCTTGCTACCACTGCCTTGGTCTCCGCGTCTCCAGCGTTGTTCTCCCCAGATCTGTCCTTTGCAGTGTAGCCAGGGGACCAACCCAGAACGTAGATCGACTTATGTAGCACTACTAGAACCCCGCTGCGGCCGAGGAGTGAAGCCCCCAGTGATACTATTCGGAGCCCTCCACAACCAGGGCCTTCCTCCCCAACGCCATTCTCTCTCCCTTCCAGTTTCATGTAAGACCAAAGCACTTGCAGTTACTCCCTCAAACCCTGTTATGCGATGCGGCTTTGCCTTCGATGAAGGTGACTAATCTTCCAAGACTTGAAGGCGAGGAATGTAGCTCGGTGGTAGAGCTTGCTCAGGTGGCACCACAAAAAAAAGTTCAGTTTCAGCACTACCTTCCCCAGCAAGCCTTCCTTAAATCCCCAAAGTGGACCAAGTGCGCCTCCCAGCAGGGCTCCCGGAGTTCACTGGGCTTCCCTCTGTCTTTTACTACATCACGTTAAAATAATTTGCGTACATGTTTTGCTTCCTTCCCCGCTTAATGGTGAGTTCTCTGAGGACAGAGGCTGTTCATCTTTACAGCGCAGGGTGGATAATGATACTCATTACTCAGCTGACCAGCAGAATAGACCTTGCGCAGCGCTCCTCAGAGAGCCAGAGGTGCAAGGTGGAGGAAACCTTCATGTCCCGCGCTTAGCACGGGCAGGCGAAAGGGCCCCACACAGCACGAGCGAGCAGGCCCAAGTCCTGCGCGGCACAGACAGGGTGGCTGGGGCCCGAGCCGCACTGATAAATGCTTCGAGTGCACTTAGGGCAAAATCGCCAAGTGAAGTCATAGATACAGTTTGAGGTTTTGTTGCTGTTAAAGAGCATCAGTATTTCAAAGGCAAATAATTAAAATACACTATAATTTTTATTTCCCTCTTTTGGTATTTCTGTACTTTTTAATATATCAGTATGAAGTAATACCAAAGGCTTTAAGCAAGCTTCTTCAGAAACAATATCATCAAGGCTGAAAGAAAGAAATCAGATTTATGCAAAAATGTTTCCTGTCCCTGGAGCAGGAAGGACAGGACCTGGCAAGTGGTAATTATGCAATACACAGGCTGAATGGAGGAATCAGTGACTAGAAATGTAGCCAACGTCCTAGAGGGAAGAATCTGTCCATCTGAAAGATGGTGCTCAGCCTAAAACACGGCCGCTGAGCGTCTAAGGCAGAATTACCCAGGACGCCCTCAGGCCTTCCCAGGGAGAGGCTGCCTTTGTCTGCAGGCTGAGCCAGTTGTATGTGTTGAGCTCTCACAGAGCCCGTGTCATTAAATACTGGAGCTATCCCTCAGGCCTGGCTCTGCTTCTAGGAAAGTATCCTGATACATACCCTGTGGGAATTCCTGCTACCAGCTCCTGACATCCACACCTGGTCCCAAATGGCAGGGTTTTTTGTTGTTTTGTTTTTGTTTTTTTGAGACAGGTTCTCGCTATGCAGTTCAGTCTAGCCTTGAGTTCACTTTGTAGCCCAGGCTGGTCTCAAACTCACAACGATCCCCCTGACTCAGCCTCCTGAATGCTGGGATTACAGGCGTGTGCCACCAAGCCCGGCCCCCAAATGGCAGTTACAGTTGTAGGAAGTTACTTGGGTAGTTCATGTTGGTTCTAAGAAACTGAAATACTATCTGGGCCCTGCCAAAATCAAGCACTCAAATATGGAATACAGTGATCCAAATGAAGTGACTTCACCAAGGTAATGCCCCCCACCGAGGAGGAGTGGACAGCTAGTGTCTCCTGTGATTCCATCTTCACAGGCAGGTAGTGGAGTAGCTAGACAGGTGGGCATCTGCATCATTTGATTAAAACATAAGAGTAAAGGATGATGGGAGATGGGGAATCTCCTGAACACACAGGAAAGCAAGGACAAACAACCTAATCACACATTCTCAAGAGAACACACTTCCAGAAAAAGAATGTCACGTGTTTATCTGTTCATTCATCTGTCCAATCAACAATTCCTCAGCACTCAGGAGGCTGCTGCAAAAGAGGATCGTTTCAGGTTCCAGACCAGCCTGGGCTACAAAGCGAGACCCTGTCTCAAAAAGACAAACAATAAATAAATAATAAATTCCTGAGTGCCCATTTAGCATGTGTCTGGGATACAGTACATGCTGGAGATCCAAAAATGAAAGAGTCAAGCTGTGTATCAGAGCCGTCAATTCTGCCTGTAGGCAGAGTCACTCTCTAAGAATGCTGTTCTCCTGAAGCTTTTCTTCAGAGATGTCTCTGAAAATTAGGTCTAGGGAGACTGAATGACACATTATCAACTGAATGATGGGTGCTGTGAAGTATTTTCAATCTTCGCAGCATGATGTCTTTTCCGGAGTCATTATTGCTAGGTTGGCTTTTCTCCCCAAGGAGCCCCTAAAATCTTCACAGGCTGGCAGAACCACCCCCGAGCTGTCTGGGCTCCAGGATGCTGTGCAGTCATCTGAGCGGTGGAATCCTCTGAGCTACTGCCGCCCTCTTACTTCGGAGCCTACCTATGTCAACACATTATGATGCGGGAGCAACAGAACAATGCCCAGAGCAGCCTGGCCTGTACTTTTACCAAGTGGTTAGCTGCCTGCCCAGGAGACATGAAAACCTTCTGCTAAGGACATGTGAGAAGAACAGAAACATACTCTTTGGACATCATCGTCCTGGTCGGCATCCAGGAGATTTCCAGGGACCTGTCTCAGCCTCACTTCTGCGTAAGTGTCTGGTGACTGGTTGGTTACTAGACCTGAGTGTGAGCCGGAGGGGGCAGGACTGGGGCAGTTCGCTTACTACTGACCCTGTGAGGGCAGAATGTCCACTTTCTTGCCATCTTCCTCTTTTCCTTCTAGTTTCGTTTCACCTACCTCAACCAGAACAATCAGGAAGCTCAGAGATGTTCTATTGCCTGGTGGCCGAATTTCCTTTTCTTTCATGTGATCTCTTTGACAATTTGAGTTTTAAATAAAAGCATCCTTTCAGGATTACTTTGAAATTTTTATTTTTTGAACAGTGACCCCAATTTTCTGCCATTAGTAACTGAGAATTTGGAAGTCCATCTTTTTTTTTTCATAGTGGGATTTGAACCCAGGACTTTTGCACTGAGATACATCCCCAGCTCCTTTTTTATTTTTTTACTTTGAGACAAGTTCTCACAAAATTACCTAGGCTGGGCTGGAATTTATGATCCTCCTACCTCGGCCTCCCAAAATGCTGGGGTTATAAGCATGTGCCACCACCTGGCTTTTGATGACCACGATTTTTAGTTATCCAAGTGGGAGGAAAGATCCAGAACGCAGGGCCTGCTGGTCAGAGCTAGAAGGCTGGGGGAATGGTGGAGCCATTGTGAAGAGAAAGGAGACCAAAACAGTCAGACCTCAAGGATGTAACCAGAATTACAAGCTAGAATCATGATGGACCTGCCTTTAAATGTACTTATTAGAGTTTTAAGAATCTTGAAAAAAAATCCCTTATGTAAAATGCTATGCTTCAGGGGCTGGGGATTTAGCTCAGCAGCACAGCGCCTGCCTGGCAAGCGCAAGGTCGTGAGTTCGATTTCCGGTATTGGAAAAAAAAAAAATAAATAAAAATAAAAAAATAAAATAAAATGCTATGCTTCAAAGTGCCATGAAGAATTAACCTGAAGCACCAAGAATTACAGAAAGCAGCTTTACTGAGTGAGAGAAAAACATCATTTAAGAGCTATGGTGTAACTACAGATGAGAAGTAATACCATAAAAAGGAAAAGACCAAACAAGAATCTAGGTGATGGGTGGGTGGGTAGGCACTACAGAATTCTTTCAATTTTTCCACAGGTTTGAAAAGACCCCATGGGAGCTCTAAGGAGCAAACATTTACCGAACACATTTTAGGGGTATAAGCATCCCTCCGAATCAGGCAGTCAGAAAGCCCAATCAAAATAGCTTTCTGCTGGCTCCCCAGGTTACCACTCCCTCCTCTTCCCAATAATCATTAATACTCAAGCTGTCACGTTTCCAAAAAGTTCCAGACAATTGAATTTATTCCTGGGAAAACAAAGACACCTTGCCAGCAATACAGCATAAACATACCCCACATCCATACTGTTCTTGGCCCAATAATGTGCCTTGGTCATCCTTGAAACAGCGACAAGCTGGGGCAGTCCTGGGGACGGCATGGACAGTTAAGGGAAAGGGTTTATTAGTTCCACTCCTGACAGTTACACAGATGTTGCTTCTTTGTGCTTGATTTTCCAGTTGCGTGCTAGCGATGGTTTCTGGTCTGTGAACAGATTTGATATAGACTCCCTCTACCTTTTCTTTTAGTAAAAGTAACCAACAATATCTTTTTCAGATGAAAATTACAACTGTTATTCTGCAGAAAAGTACAGCCCAATATAACTACCCATTAAATTAATGTTCATTTGATTGGAATTGGAAAAAACAGAGAAAAATGATTGAGGGGGAGGAAAGGCACCAAATTAAAGGAAATGGTAGCCAGGCCTGGTGGTGCACACCTGTAATCCCAGGACGCTGGGAGACTGAGGGAGGAGGATGATACATGCAAGCCCAGCCTGGGCAATTTAGCCATTTAGTGAGACCCTGTCTCAAAAAAAGAGCTGAGAAGGCAGCTTAGTGCAAAGGCCCTGGGTTCAATCCCAGGTACCACCAAGCAAACAAACAAAAAGAAAGCAAAGATTGTAAAGCATCTGCCAGTGGTAGAAGAGGTCTGGGTTCATCTCTGACAGGCTTAAGACTTTTTCATGTCCTTGCCCTGCAGCACATTTTCTTATCTACACTACGTGCTCTGCATCTTGCTTACTTGATGTAATGCATAGGGCATTGGACGGACCTACCAAAAGACATAAATGTGTATTGAAGAAATCTAAACTATGATTGGGAAGATTAGTACGTATCCCTGGAACAACAAATTATAACAAAAGATTCTGTGAATCCGTGAAATGAAGCCAGTTCTTTGCCCCCAAAAATGGGCTATAGAAACCTGCTGTGCTTTTCTGCATTAGTTCACACATTCATTCAACATACATGTGTTGCAATTCAATTAAATATATAT